TGGGAAGGTCTTGATCCAGGCAGGCAGAGACTGGGGGTAGACGGCAGAATGAGGACCCTGTTGCAGGTACCAGCTCTCTCTCCCTTTCTCCCTCTCAGAAGAAATAAACCTTTTTTATTTGTTTGCTATCAGGCACGTATGGTTACCAGAGATGGGGTGGAGGAAGAAACCCCCTCCAGAGGGATAGTCATGCCAAAATCCCTTCACCATTTCCCTCTCGGGATTTTTGGATATGCATGTACCCGTGCCCGGTGTGATTTTTAAGCCACTGCTCAGTTACCCATGTGAGATCCAGCCACTTTAACCCATATTCCACTGGCTGTCCCATAAATAAACTTTCTAAAAAAAGATTTTAAAAAAATCCTCAGTGGCTTAAAAACTGCATAGATAAGTTTGATGTTAGAGTTGTAAAGATACTCAGAGGGAACCCAGTGATAGCCTAGAGTTTCTCATCAAAAGCCTGTCAGGTTTGAGTAGAATGGTTCTTGGTTGTATTAACCTGTCCTGTGTATTATAAGACAATCAGCATCATTAGTCCTAGACCCCAAATCCCAGTTGGTAGGACAACTGAACCTCACCACCTCTATCTACACACACACATCTTTGAATTCTTCTTAAGCCTAAATTCTTAATTGTATGGGTCAAGCAGGAACAAACAATTCACTTTAGTGTCTACGTCAAGAATAGTATTCCTGGGCCAGCAGGTGGCACAGTGGTTAAGGATGCTGAACTCCCACATGGCCAACCATGGTTCAAGTCCCAGACCTGGCAGCTTACTTTCTCACTTTTCCTCTCTCTGTCTCACTCTCACTCTGTCCTTCTCAGATCAAATTTTAAATGCATAAATAAATAGTTAGATAAAAATAATTCCTTAAAAAATAGGAATCCTGCTGTTGTACCATTTCCATCTGTCTTTTTATTTTAGGAAATGGCTGGTAAAAACGAAAGCTTTTGAAGTCTTAAACTAAAGACATAGTAGCAATGGAAAGGATCATTTGTAAGTCACTTATTCGTAATCTAAATTCATTTTTCCCACAGACACAGTGTTATGTATGGTGGTTTCCCACAAAAGTCTATTGTACTTTGGATCCCATTTCCTCCTGCCTTCACAGGAGCCTTATATTATTCTATATCGATTTTCTCATATATATATATATATATATATACACACACACACAACATCTTCCTCTCAACTTGGCCCTTCCCATCAGCATTTATGCTCATATAAAAATAAAGCAAACCCTCTCTCAGTCCCTTCACATCCCTCTATCTGCTGCCCTGTTCCCCTTTATCTCTTTGTGAAATTTCCAAAAGCACTGTCTATACTTACTCTATCTCTTCACTGCTCACTTACTCCTCAACCTAGTCCAATCGGGCTCACCATTACTGCACGTTAACTCTTGCTATGGGTATAATGACTTTCATGCCACTCAATATTGGGTTGTCAGGAAAGTCATGACACATTTTTACACAGAAAAACATAGAAAACATACATCATGACTTCCCTGACAACCTAATAGAACGTATTTTTTTAAATATTCTCTTCTTGATCTTTCAGAAATGTGTATGTGCATCGGAGCATTTTCCCCCTGGGGAGAGAGTCTAAAGTTTTCCATCAAAATTTTAAGAGAGGTCATTGCCTAGCAATTCAGAAAATGGCAATACATAAGTGATATGGTGTGTCTTCCAATGAGTGCATAACTGAAATTAGGTGTGGCCACTTTGGGGAGGAACGTCAACCCAGAAAGTATCTAGGTCATTTTTTTACTGTGTAAGATAAAACTTCATAAAAATAGAAAAGAAGGATGTCAGTGGGAAGATGATGCCTTATTCCAGAGATAAATTGGGGGGAATTATCTGATGATTGTTTTTCCCTGTTCCTCGCTTTTCCCTGCACAAGTCTGGGCTGGCAGTCAGGTAAAAGGAAATGTAATATACTTGGGTAGAGGCGGCTGCTTGGGACAGCACAGCAGGGGCTGGAAGCCTGTGAGGCAGAGCTGTGATGTTCCAGATCGAGGGCCTCATGCCAAAACTGGACCCAGAGGAGATGAAACAGGAGATGCAGAAGATGTCATCTCCTCCATATGGAATTCCCTCATCTTCGCGGCCCTGCTGCGAGTCACTCCTTTTATTGTAAAGAAATTGGACAGCATATGAAGATTGGGCATCCCACACAAATATATATGAAGAACCTGGTTACAACTTCTACACCTGTCTGCACATGAATAGGCCCAGAGAGGTGTTAAGAGACTCTTCGATTGAATGGACATAAAAATTTCATTTGTTGGGACTAGCAGTTAGTGTAATGGCTATGTCGCTGGACTCCCGCGTAGTCAACTGCGGTTCGAGTCCCGGACCCGGTGGCTTAAACTCACGCCGGGCACGTATACGTGCGTGCCCAAGATCCCGAGAGGAGAATGGAGGAGAAGGGATTGCGGCATGGCCACCCCCCCCGGGGGGTGATTTCCTGCTTTCTGTCTCTCTGTCTCTGTCTGTCTGGTGAGCGCACACGCCCTATAGCAAAAACCTCTCAAAAAAAAAAAATTTCACTTGTTAAGAACAAGTTTGGCTCTGGTAACTGAACTTCATAGCTAAAATATAAAACTATTGGGAAGTATGGAAAGACATCTTGTCACAGTGTGTCCTTATGCCTGTACTATTTGGCCTCCATGAATGTTGGTGTAATTGTAAATAATGTATCTTCTAGCAAGTATTATAAGAAAATTATGTCTGAAAAAAAATATATATATAAACTTGGGTAGAGGGCCGGATAATCCAAGACGGCTTTGAAAAGGGGACAAGGAAGACGTGGAGGAATGGGTGGGGAATGGAATGGATGGCCTTCATCACATTCGGTGGAAAGATGATTTTCCGCTAGTGAATTCTATACTCTTCGGGAAGCATTTGGTCAAATCCTGCCAACATCTTCTTTCTGCTCTGAAAACAATTCTTTAACCAGAGAAGCCAACAAGTCTGAAATTAGAAGTCTTAAACTAAAACAGAAAGAGCACGATAGAAGTATGGGCGGTGGAAGGCATACAAATGCACACACTGACAGAGTTGTGTTTATCCTAAAAGCCTCTGAGAATTTCCTATCAGGCCTGTGCAGCTAGATAACAAACACTTCTTTAATCTTCTCTTTGAAGCTTCGGCTTCAATAGGAAAGGGAAGCTATCACTCCCCTGCAATATCCATGCTCAACATCATCAGGTCCATGCAAATGATATTTGGAACTGAAAAAATATGAGGACAGAATGAGCGGAGAGAAAATGCTGCAACCATGTTGATGGCTGTTTCCGCATTCAGTCAGAATGAACTCATCTTCACCTATGCCTCCACAGTGAACATGGAGGGGCCACAGTTCACAGAAGTCAGTCTACACCACAGAGTGGAGTTCTGAAATGTCAAGATTCCATTACATGCAAGACAAAGTCGGATGCATGCTTTTAAATTAAACGTGGTTTTCATTGAACTTCAGTTTGGGGACAGGTACAACACATAAACTGAACCCACGGGATTGAGGGCGTCTTCATCAGCAGCAGCCCCAATAGCAGTAGTTACAGTTATGATACTAATAACAATTACTGTTATTAAACTAATAACAGTTTACTGTTCTAAAAGAATTCAGTCACTCAGTCGATAAATATTAAGTATCTTTTTTTCTTTTCTTTTTAAAAAAAATTGCTATAGGGTGCACACACTTGCAAGGACAGAGAAAGAGAGAGAGAAAGCATTTTCTAAGGGGGAGAAGGGTGGTCACATCCCAATCCCTTCTCCATTCTCTCCTTGGGATTTTGGACATGCAAGCACATGCACCCAGGGTCTTTCAAGTCTCCAGGTCGGGGACTCGACCTTCGCATTGAGCCATGTGGGATTCAGCTACCTTAACCACCACGTCACTGGCTGACTCTATTAAATATCTTTTATGACAAGTCCTTTGTCCAGGTATCAAAGATGAAATGGTGACTAAAATAGATACACTCCACCTAAAAATATAAGTTAGTATCTTCCAAACTACAAACATACTGTTCTAGATAGCCATACAAACCACAGAATACTTTACTAGATCTCTGCTGAAAATAGGACAGTTGACTCTACATCATTAGATTGCAAGGCATGAGGAAGGAGTAGCAAATTCTTAACCATGGAGCTAACCAATCAACGGTTATTGAGATTACACAGAGCTTTCACCCCTCAGGAGACGGATTAAATAGATCCTTGGAAAATACATAATGTAAACAATTTAAACTATTTTCATATTATTGGAAATACCTAGGAAGAAAAAAAATTCCATTTCCTAATTATGATAAAGTAATTAACATAGTCAGCATTTAATATATGCCAGGCATTGAACTACATATATGTTTCACGTGTGTTATTTTATTTCATCTTTATAACATGACCTTAGAAGGTCAATGCTATTTTCACTTTACAGATGAAGAAACTGAGGCTCAAGGTCAACCGACTTGACACAGCCATCACATAGCAGAAACAAGATTTGTATCCAGATCTGCTTGGTTCCAGAGCCCAAGCTCTTAAGTTCCAAATTATTTGCTTTGCCATTGGCTGCAGTACAGAAATTAGTACTTAGCAAAAAGTAGAATTAGTTTGTTAGACAGTGTATGGGTATTAACAAGTGATTAGATCAGAGGTATTTAACTTGGGAGTCCCCAGTTATCTGGCTTCAGGGGATTTATAACTCCCTAAAATTGAGGATGACAAATAAGAAATGTTTTCTTTTTCCTTGGAGAAGAGTCCACAGACTTTGTTAATACTAATAACTCC